GGCCACGACAGCGCGCCTGCAGCTGGAGCAGGTGAAGTGGCTGCACCAGCAGGAGATCAACGAACTCAAGCACAACCACGGTCAGTGCACCACACAAGATATTCAACAACTCAGTTTGTCCCTTTCCCTCGCCCTATATCTTTTTAATCCCGACACGAAACGTTTAAACACAGTATAGTTATGTTCAAATATGACGCTGCGGAGAATAAAGCTATACTAATATAATAAAGCGTAAACACACTGTTATGTAGGATGTCAGCAATCGCAGTAAGTTTTTTCAATAAAAACCCCCCTGTTATGACTCACTGTAGGCTATATTTTTTTACGCTATTAAACTTAGAGGGGTAGATAAATTGAAAAAAAAAAAAACAGTTACGCAGGAAAAGGACAATAACTACACCCTGACATCATGGAAGCAAGGTTGCTATGGTAACGGTAATTGTTAGGCAATGGTCAACTACAATTGAAAGTTTTACAAATGTAAACATTTAATGCTTATGAAGCTGTACGAGAACGGCTACTTTTAGAAATAGTGGGTTAAAAAATGCGAAATAAGGGCACTCTTGATATTTCATAGTTTCATATAAAAATATTAAATTGAACGTTTGTTTACAGAGTTGATAATGGCGGAGATGCGGGCGACGTTCGAGAAGGAGAAGAGCCGAGTGGTGAGCGAGGTGCGGCGCGCCGCGCAGCTCGAGCTGGAGTCTGCCGTCAAACTCGCCAAATCCAAGCAATGGTGAGATACACACTATTCTAAATATAAAAAAGCCCTAACATTGCCAAAATTCTGAATTTTTTTTTGTAATATGGTGGCTTTTACCCGTGATTTTGCCGGCGTAAAAAAATAAAGAAGCCTATTCTTCTAGATCCGTTCTACGTCTATGCTAAATTTCATCGTAATCCGTTCTACCGTTTACGCTGGAATCTCTAACAAACATCCATTCATCCATCCATGCATCTTAAAGTTAGCGCGTATAATATTTGTAAGATAAATCGCCTGATATCAATTTTTGTCATAATTTTAAGTAGTGAACATAATTCGACTAATAAATTTTTAAAAATTATTTTTAATTTTATTTACTTATCTTATTATCCATTTTGTTTTTCATTCGAAATCATCATCAAATGAAGGCGATGATTTATACAAGGGTTTCAAAAGGGATCAATAGCTTTGTATAGTTTCTAATATTTCTCGCGTTCACGATAGTATTTGGTGTGTTGCAGGTGTTGCAACTGCAGCAAGGAGGCGCAGTTCTACTGCTGCTGGAACACGTCGTACTGCGACTACCCCTGCCAGCGCTCGCACTGGGCGCAGCACTACGCCGTCTGCACGCAGCAGAGACAGGTATACCTCATCACCACCTCACTGTAATTTCCCACTGACGAGAGAACCTACCCTTTGACTACCCCATAGTCAACTGCGCTGGCCCAGTACGGGTTGGTTGACTTCACACATATCTTTGAAATTCCTTCCCGATATGTGGTTGCATTGCAATGTTTCCCTTCACCGTAATTAGATACATATGAAATTCGAAAATCTAAAATAACATTGTTACATGGCGGGGTTCGAAGCCAAGAGAAGGTTACAAGTCAAGTGCTTAAGCCTCGGAGCCACCGACGCTCATACCTGTCTAGGTATACCTAATTTCGAATATCTCACAGGCTCCGGCGTCTGTACTGTGAAATGCTCCAAGCCAATAAGATACATGACAACTTTTATACAGCTGTTACAGGTTCTCTATGTATCCATATTTTTGTGTTATTTGTCAGGTTTTTGTTTGGACAAAATTCTATAGATTTTTTTGATTTGTAGTTTTTTAACCCTTTTTATTCGATTGTGCCCAGTGTGATGACATCTAATTTAAATATATTTCTTTCACATCATATTTCATATCCAAAAGTATGACTATTACTAAAAAAATGTTTTTTGCTACAGAAAAAAAAACTCCGTCAAATTAAGTGAATAGGAGAATCGACAGTTTGACGTATCTTTATTTTTTCCAACTGGACAATGACAATGAAGTGTTTTAAATAATTGTAGGACAACGAAGGGTCAGAGGGTGGCGCTGCGAGCGACGGAAACAAGTCCACGGAAACCAGCAAATCAATGCCAGTGAGTTGTAATGAAAAATTTCAAATATTAAACATCAAAATCGGCCCAGTAGTTATTACGTGAATCGAATACATACAAATCTCGTTATAATATTTGTGTAGATAATACCTTACAAAAATACCGTGAGCTTTATGAGATTTTGTAGTTTTGAAAATATAATATAAACATTTTGCTTTTTACTAAGGGAAAATCATTCTTTGGATATATTTTTTATTTCTATTCATACTATATCATATTTTCCACAAAATACGATGAACCATTCCCTGCAAATATCAATTAATAGCCATTCAAAAAACAAACATAGTTTTACAAGATTCTAGTCTTTTATTTGAAATATTGTATAGAAAACTTGCTTTCCAACCGCGTAACATTAACAAAAACAAAAACAAAAGTTAGTAGTCTATGTACATCTTTGCCAAATTTCATCGAGATCCATTTATCCGTTGGCTACAAACTCTAACATCCAACCATCCATCAAAATTATCGCATTAGTAGTAGTAAGATTATCAATGTATTTTGTTTGTGTTGTATATTTATGGTGGATGAATTTCTGGCGTTACAGAAGAGTGCCCCCGTGCTGGCGCCCGTGCGCGTCTACACGCACGAACAGAATGCGAACAAACCATCCCTCATAGGTGAGGAAATAAACACATGTATTACATACAAAAACAGTACAAACTTAAAACATAAAAATCTGGAAAAATGAAGACAGTTCAACGAAGCGGGGATGGACTAAAACAACCCTACGCTAATTCAGTATCGTTTCAGCCTTCAAATAAACGCGGTATAAAGTTACTTGGGAATAAACTGAGTATATGGACATGTTATGCGACGAGACGATGGCGACATAAACCTGAAAGTATTAATAATGAATGTGGATGGCTACAAAGGAAGAGGAAGACCGAAGAAAGTATGGATGGATTGTGTAAAAGAGGATATGCTTAAGAATGGAGTGGATTCAGATATGACGAATGATAGAGATGTATGGAAGAGCAGCACATACTGTACCGACCCTCCGTAAGGAATAAGAGCAAGTTGATGAAACTGAGTATAAGCAAAATTTGTACTAAAATTTGCATTTAATCAGTTTATTCCTAAGTAACTTTATACCGCGTTTATTTGTAAGTTGTGTTTACACACTCTATAAAAACATCACAAGCATATTCTGTCTATATAAATATCACTCAAATGTTTCAACTTTCACTAAAATTCATTAAATTTTACCGTAGGTACGATCTCGGATTTGGAGATTTCTCCCCCGATACAAAGAAAAGGTACAATCTCGTAAATTCGCAATGTTCCACTTAATTAAAAAAAACGAGACAGCTTCCTCTTGTTACAAATAACCAATTAATTAGCAGTGAGATGAGTAATCTTTGGGATAATAAAAACAATTAGCCGTATACCATTTCCCTTTTTCATACAAACATATTTAAAATCTATGTCTTTTTAGTTATAGCTTCAAACGACTTTACCTTTGAGGGGTAACGACAAATTCTCCGATTGTACATCTCTCTTCATGAATTGACACGTTTCTAAGCACAAATGAAATAAAGTGGCATTAAAGGAATAATTTAATTTTCTTCCAGTGAGTATGTTCGAGGACTCCACCGGTAACCAGACTATGAAGTGCGTGGGCACGTACAAGCCCCACGGCCCGCCCAAGCTATCGCCGCTCAATGTTAAAAAAGTGAGTATAATTAAAAAAACTACACCTACAATTATAAAAGGGAAAGTCTTGTATATTGTATGTATTGAAGTACCTCAAAAGCTACTGGGCCGATTTTATAATTTTTTCATTATTAATAGTTACGTTGTCAGTGGGCATATTGGGTATTTTTTTATTATTTTTCCAACTTCACGGCGACGAAGTCGTGAGCAACAAGCTAGTAATTAAAAACTACTGGGAGGTTTTTTTTAAAATTCTATCACCATTACAATGCTACAGTATTACTAAGTAATATATTTTTAATTCCAAGTGAAAGAAGTCACGAGCAAATAATAGTTTTTACAGTTCTTATTTTTTATTTGCAATATATGAATCTAATTT